CACAAGGTGTTCCTCCGGTACACAGGAGTTGCATAATCTCATAGTCTGGGGAACATGTATAAGTCATGAAGAAAGCAGTAGCAATAAACTCCAACGATCATTATGGTAAGCTAACGGATGGGTCATGTCCATCACATCATTCTCTAATGGTGTGATCCCATTCATCAAATGACAACACATGTCTATGGTTAGGAAACATAACCATCTTTGATTAACGAGCTAGTCTAGTAGAGGCATACTAGGGACCATATGTTTTGTCTATGTATTCACACATGTACTAAGTTTCCAGTCAATACAATTCTAGCATGAATAATAAACATTTATCATGATATAAGGAAATATAAATAACAACTTTATTATTGCCTCTAGGGCATATAATCTTCAGGGAAATCCCTAAGAAATCGATGAACACATGGGGAAAATACGAGGGAAACACGAGGGAAATCACTCAAATCAACAAGATGCGATTACACACGTGCTAGATCCGTGAGTCACAAAGGACGATACACGTAGCAAGTTCTTCTCTGTGAGGGGGTCTTGAGGGTCTTCTCCAAAAGGGGTCTTGAATCCTCTTGGGGGATCTTCTCTGAGGAGGCCCTGGACTCCAATGGAGAAGTAACCAAGGGTATGAGCACAGCTCTATCTCTCAAATGAGCTAATCCTTTGCTAATCCTAGAAAGAGGGAGGAGGATAGGTATATATAGTCTAAGTGGACGAAGGGGTACATGGGCTTCAACCCAACACGCGGATCACACGCAGGTGTCAGACGTCCGACAGCTACCGGTCGTCCAGTGTCTCGAGGGGGCTCGGACGTCCGGTACTTGTCGGAAGTCTGACGTTTCGGCTCGGGTCACGTGGCGTCGGTCGTCCGGTCGACTCGGACGTCTGAGGCGTCGGTCGTTCGAAGGCTTTCATACTTCCGACATCTTGGCTCGGTGATGGTGGTGTCGATCGTCCGGAGGATGTAGCACTAGTAGAAAACAGGGCATTTGTCCCGGTTCGTAAGGGCCTTTAGTCCCGGTTCATGAACCGGGACTAAAGGGTCATTTCTAATGCCTCCCCCCTTTAGTCCCGGTTCTAACACCAACCGGGACTAAAGGAAATTTTATGATTTTTTTTTGAATTTTTGTTATTGAATTTTTTTTCAAATTTTTGAATTATTTTAACCTCTAATCTCTAATCACCATCCCTCATCACTGCTCAATTTATCCTCTAATCTTTAATCACCCCTCATCATTCCAAATCATCTAACTTCCCGAATGGTCACCCATCCTCCCACTCCCCCAGCCTGAGCACACTTAACTTCCGGGTTCTATTCTCCCTCGTTTCTAAGTCTGCACTTGTTGTTTTGCTAACAATAGTAAGATGTCAATCCTATTAACCCTCAGGAATTTTGCTTGAGCATGAAGTGACACATTTCACTGTTTGAGTTTGAAACTATTGTTTTAAAAAAAATTATTTAGTAACACTAATATTTCTTGAATAATTAGTTTGACCATTGTTTGACCACAGTTTGACCACAGTTTGACCAGATTTGACCAAAATTCAAAATAACTAAAATAATTATTTAGTAACACTAATATTCTAGAATAATTAGTTTGACCATTGTTTGACCACAGTTTGAATTTTTTTTGATTTTTTCCACTCTAGATCTTAAAAGCCCCATAACTTTTTTTCTATTAGGTTTTTGAGGATTTTGAAAAAATTTAACGGGGTTCCGCTGGTTAAATTTGAATGTGACTTTTCGAGTAGATGATTTTTCATATAAAAAACTTTTTCATCCGAGTCAGTATGCAAAAGTTATGCCCATTTTATTAAATTCTAGAGAGATTTTGCAAATAAAGTCGAAATTCATATTTGTAAATTTTCTCAACAACTAGACCACATATCACATGGGAAACGTATTTTCTTTTATTTTTTTGACATTTTCATCATTTTCTTTTATTTTTTTAAACTGAACAGGCGATCCGGGGGGGTGGAGTTTGAAAATGGGACCTTTAGTACCGGTTCCTGCCATGAACCGGTACTAATGCCTCAAACCCCATTAGTACCGGTTGGTGGCACGAACCGGGACTAAAGGTCTAACCCTTTAGTCCCGGTTGGTGCCACGAACCGGGACCAATGGGCATCGCACCCTTTAGTCGCGGTTCGTGGCACCAACTGGGACTAAAAGGTCCAGACGAACCGGGACAAATGGCCCACGCGGCCCCTGGGCGCACGAACCGGGACTAATGCCACCATTAGTCCCGGTTCTAGACTGAACCATACTAATGGGCTAACCCGGGGTGGACCAAAGCCCTCTTTTCTACTAGTGTAGGACCTCGGACGTCCGAGGCGCGCCGGTCGTCCCATCGCTGGAGCGTGTGCAAGTTGGGGCCTTCAGGCGTCGAATGTCCGAGAGGTGTCGGTCGTCCGGTGGCTGGGAGCTTTTTGGCGGCTCCCCTTCTTGTCCTTTGTACTTGGTGTCCTCGCCGTCTTGTCCGTTGGGTGTAGCTGCTCCAAGGCCTTCCTCTAAGTGCCTGCTCACACATACGGTCTCCGCTTGAGGTAGTAGCCATGTCTCATGTGTAGAAAATGGTAGTTCGAAGAGGAGCGAGTTCGCCTTATCTTCAATAGCCCTTGCTCGAGCTCTTGTCATCGGTCCAAGTGGTATCATGGGAGGTGTCGGTAGGTCCATGGGATGACCTTGGGATGCTCCGCATCACGCGAGATTCAAGATGGCAATGGGGCCCCGAAAGCCGCGTCCCCATGGGTTTTTACCCTATTAGGGGACGGGGATGGGAATCTTTTCATCCCCGCGGGGCTGTTGTTGGGCACATTATACAACCCGACACTTTTTGTGGGTTTACACCCGTTTCGGTAGTCCCCGAACCCGAAACCCGGCAATACCTACGAAATTACATTTCTTTGGAGGCTTGGGGATGTGAAAGATGCCATGATGATTCAAACCTTAAAGTGATTTGTGAACTATAAATTCTATTTCAAAACTTATGTATTGGACAATTTTGTCTCGTTTGTGCTCATGATTTGTGAACCAAGAATTCTATTTTAGAACTTGTGTAATTGCACATCTTGTTGAACCATCTATGGCTGAAATCTGTCATCTTTGTTGCTGAAATCTGATCATCTTCATTGCTGAAATATGGTATCATGCTGCTGAAATACACTCTATATAGCTGTTGAACCATTTACTATTGTTTTTTGTTGAAATTTACTCAAGTTATGCTGCTGGAATGTGCTTGTTTTGCTGCTGAAATGTTATTCTTTGTTGCCACTATGTTTGTTTAAATATTTTGATTTTTTCATGGGTTCCCCATGGGTTCCCCGAAACCCGATGGGTTTAGGGGACGGGCAGAAAACTAGCCCCGCGCACGGTGACGGGGATGGGGATGGGTTTACGATTTTCTCGTGGGGATGGGTTTGGGAAGGCAAAACCCGATGGGTTTCATCCCCGTTGCCATCTTGACGCGAGATCACTAATTAAGTAGTTTTCCGTTTAAAGATCATTCATCCCTCCTTGGGTTGCAATAAGTGGTGCACTGCATGCGCGCCACTTGTCGCAAACTAAGGGTTTTCACATTTTTCTTATATCCGTTTATTTAGAATGTTTTATTTTTTAAATCATGCATCCAAATCTCGAACAGTTTTCATCATTGGATTCCTCGTAACAAGATCTTTAAAACTAGATCACATGTTGATAGGTTTTGATGAACTTTCTTCATGAAAAAACCGGATGGAAAATACAGACAGGAAGCACTTTCTTTTCTCTTTCCGGAAGAGACACCGCCGTGCCTCTCGCGAAAAGCACAACAGTGCCTTTCATGAAAGCAAACCGTGCCTCTCGTGGACGAAAAAACCAGAAAACATGTTTTTTTTCTGTTTACAAGAGGCATGGCTGTGTTTCTTGCGAAAGAACAACCGTACATTTTCTTCCGCGAGAAGTGTGTATGTTTTCTTTTTTCATTTCACAAAAGACATGGTTGCATCTCTTGAAAACGAAAAAATTTACATTTTTTCCCTTCCGCGAGAAGTGTGTGTTTGCTTCCGCGAGAGGAACGGATTTGTTTGCACAAGAGGCACGTACATGCATCTCGAAAACAGAAAAAACACATTTTCTTTTTTTCTCCCTTCCGCATGAGGCACGGGTTTTCTTCCGTGAGAGGCACTGACGTGCCTCTCAGAAACGGAAAAAGAATCGTGTTTTGTTTTCTTTTCCTTCCGCGAAAGGCATGCCGTGCCTCCCGGAAATGAAAAAAGAGCATTTTTTTCTTTCACGAGAGGCACGGTCATGCCTCTTTCGAAAAGGAAAAGACGTGCTCTCAGTTCGGTTTTTCGGCCAATTTTTTTTAGTTAAAACCAATCAACATGTGATCTAATTTTAAAGATTTCGACGCAAGGTATCAAACGGTGAAAATGGTTTGTGATTTGGACCCACGTTTTAAGAGATAAAACAATTTGAATAAACGGATCTACGAGAAAAGGAAAACTCTCAGGTTGCGACAAGTGGTGCACATGCAGTGCACCACTTGTCACAATCTGGAAAGGTTTTTTTTTTTTTTTTGAGAAATCACAATCCGAAGAGGTGGAAGTGACCTTTGCAACAAAAAAAATCATAAAAGGAATTGACCTTTGCAAAGAGTGCCAAATTAGTTATTTCGCATAGTGGGGTGATTGGGCTCAGGACCCGAGCCTGAAAAACTCAGTCAAGCTCGGCCCGGTTGCCTCAACCCAACCAAGCCTAGACGCGCACGAGCAGATAGATCACCGCTGCCCGACCCAACCTAGATTTGCTCCTTCGAGCCGCCCGACGCCGGCCTCCTCCCTCGCCCTGCGCGCCCGGGCCATCATCCTCTCCGTCCACTACCACGTCGCACTCCTCCCCGCTGCCTACGAAGCCTCGTGCAGAGCTCTAGGCTGACGAAAAGCTCGCTCGGCCTGGAGCCGTGCCTCACCGAGCACGCCGATTACTCTCGGCGGCGAAAAGCTCGCTCGGCCCGATCATGTTCAAGTTCTTCCAGTCGCTCATCCGTCCGCGGGGAAATGGTGCGCCGAAATCAACCCCACCACTTCTTCCGTCTGCTGCTGCTACTGCATCAATTCCCCAACCATGCCTCTGCACATTATTTTCGTATTTTCCCCTCTTGTAGAGGTTTAGACCATAGTTAGCACTGCCGATGCTTGTGCTATATATTTTGCTTCCAATTCTTTCCACTCTTAATTTGACTGAAATCCAACAAATTCCAAGTGATTTCGTATCATATATTGGCAAATTAGCACCGTAATTAACGATGCATGCAAACCGATAAAAACATGCATGTACTGAGCTCTCAGCCTCTGACTTTTTTATCACATATATAGTGCAGTATGAACGTTTCACCAATAACTCATTGTAGAACCTGTTAATTGACACTAATTGCTTGCGATACTTTTTTCTTTTCAGAGGATGACAAGAGCGAAGAACGGGTGCGTAGCTCTCGGAACATCAACTGTGTGATTGTTCTTACTTCCATGATGATTGCATTCACGCTCACAGGCTGGTGCTTACCTCTCTCAAATCTGATTGCCGTTGCAGAGGTATGACCCCCGTTGCGGTATGTCCAGAGAGGAGTTCGAATGGCGATTGGCCCATTCCGACAGGATGGCGCAGCGTATGCCCCAGTTGCTGGACAAGGTTGATATCGGGCTCAAGAAGATGCGCCGCCATTTCGTCAACGACCCGGACGCCCTCAAGCATTGGGATGGGTATGAGGAAAATGTTCGTTATGCATTTAGGAATCAGCTCTCTCGCACCCTCATGTGGCCTACATGTCTCCCGGTTAGTTCTCCTATGCACATACTCTACTTCTTCAGTGTTAAATTTTCTCTTCAGAGTAATAAAAGCATTGCTGGGTGCGGATCGCCTTAATTTGCAAACATCTTGAAACCCAGTTTGCTAGCTTGATTCCTGATGACACGTGCGCCATCATATATAGTTCCATCTCAAACAACTTAATGCCAACACTTCTACATCATCCGTAAATCTTACAATATTTGCAATATCAGAGGCTGCGAGTTTTTCATTCCTGCCCATTTCCACTTCTCTTCTAGGATGACTAGATTCGCTCTCCTGAATTCGTGTGATGACATGACCAAAAATAATCTGAATTTGATGTTCGGTTTCAGAACTCCGTCGCATACAAGCATCTGATGCAGAGGAAAGCCCAGTCTAGGACACTTGTTGGCAGGGTATCTCGCGGAATGGAGAAGCTGAGACAGGTAACCTTGAGGAACAAGACATCAGTCAGAGCTGGGGCAACTGTCGCCGTTGTCACTGCCGCCTTTGCTCTCGGGCTTTCCATAGGGCAGACTCAGCTCCATGAAAAGCAGCAGCAAATGGAAGACCAATGAAATGGAACCTAGCTATGAACCTAATTAAGTTGGTCGCAGAACCCCTTGTATGAAATGTTTGTGGACATTTGATGATATGAACATTGTGTTGATGTGCCTTTTCTCTGTCCGAGGGAAAAATGTAGCGATGGCATATTAGTTTACTGAATTTTTGCATCATTATGTGCCATTTCTGCATGTATTGAGTTGTTTCCACTCTAGAGTCTAGACTACCGAAAAGAACAACCTAGATTTTTTTTTTAAATTCGGTGATGTCATGATCTCTGGGTGATTTTTTGTTGTTGTGCACTTTTTTAACTCTTGCGGCCATATACTGAAATAGCTATCAGAATGGCACTGCTATGTGGGAAAATGTTCGTTATGCATTCGGATTGACTAGCGAAGGAATCGATAAAAGAAAGGTTTCTTAAACAAAAAAAAGGCATTGATACATGACCATAATAGACTTGTTCATTAAACTTAGTATTTTTAATTAACATGTTAAAATCAATGGTGGAAATAATCAAAGGGAAGATACCTGAAAGTGTGTGTGGTGACTCCCCAATCACTATGAAATACTCCGTCCGGGTTTGTTGGGCCCCTGAGCAATCTATGGGTGTCCTTCATTCTAAGTCCCCTTTCTAGATCCGTGCTTAAAAATCGTTTACTGTGCCCTCTAATTAATTCAGTTTTAATTCTGCACATTCTACTAGCCAATGCATGCCTTTTTATCTCCACGATGGGCTACACAGCCAAGATTTTTCCCGCAGCCAGCTCGGAGAGAGCGCTCTTAGGCTGGCCATAGTGGGAGTAACATAAGTAGTATCATGCACTTGGGACTCGCAAACATGCTTATGTGGCAAGCAATTAAAGAAGAGAAAGATGGTTATAGTAACATAGGTAGATACCGTAACATAATAAATATGATACTACTATGTGTCATGCATGTCAATAAATGAGACCATTTATGATACTAATCTATGATACTATGCACTATAGAGGTAGTAACATAGTCTAGTAACATATGCATGTTACTATTCTAAGTTACTCCCCACTATGACCAGCCTTATAGGTCAATTACCAAGCAGTTACTAATCAGCTTTTAATGCATGCGATTTACTGCCTAAACTAGCATGAGGAATTAATAGGCTGCCTTGGTACCTGAGTTTTGGTTAGTGGGCCTAATAAATCCGGACGGAGGAAGTAGCTCTTAGAGAAGGCCTTCCTATGAGGAGCAATCTGTCACCTATTTTAACTCTTTCAGTTATCAGAATTTCTTTACTTTCAAGAGCCCATTTTCTTAGGTGGGCCAGGTAGGCGTGACGTAGCTAGGTGAGCGGGGTGCACATGGATACTAGACAATTGAAGTGTTTCTTTTTCTTGGTTATAGAAGAGAAGGAGGGGTGTTGACATTTGCTTATGTTTACACACACAAAAAAAGTGAGTTTTGAAGTACGGCTGCCTTTGCACATTCTGTATCACATCACATCAGCTAAAGAAAGTGCCAACCCAACTTGTTCTGAGAATGACATCAAGTTGGCACGAGCAAGCGTAACGTGTGGCACCCGATCAAACTCAATATCGTCGAGCCATGGAACTGGAAGAACATCCATCCCACACAAGTGCTATTTTTTTCTTTTTGTGTTGTCAAGTAACCATATGAGGCTTTTGGTATCTTTGACTGTTTGAAAGTTTTGTAGAACGAGTCGAGCCTTGCTCTAAATTAACAAAGTCATCAATCGGTGAGGGTTAGGACAACAAACAACCTACCAAGAAAACCAACACAATACTGCCAGGAAATACGGTTCGGCTTACGCAGTGATACTACAAGCTCGTAAATAAAGGGGTTGAAAAAACAACAACCGCCACAAATGCTAGGACTGTTTGCCAACAAATAGAGGCAAAACCAGGATACAAATTGGGCATCAGCTTCCAATTTAGCAAAGCACTCCGTCCAAAACATATGAATGATGCATACATGTATGCATGAACTAACAAGGACAACAAACGCGTGCATGCAGCTGCGATTGGGGAACGGATGTGGTTCATATGAGGAGTTCGACATTGCCGTTGACATTGTTGGCGTCGGCTTTGAAGTCGGCAATGGCTAAAAGGATGCGCGCCGCGCCCGTGCCGCCAGCACCTACCACCTTGTGGGCCAGCATCCTGCCGGCCGCCACGGCGGGCACGACCGAGCCCAGCTGCAGGAAGACGCCCGCTAGGACAAAGAGCAGCAGGGTGTTCCTAGCCATGGAAGCCGTCGAGCGATCTCGTAGAGGCAGCTCAAACGATGAGATTGCTCAGACTCGATTTCTAGTTAGCAATGAACTTCAGAAGCTAATATGTGTGCTGCGTGTGGCGTTTGTGCCGTCGACCGTCGCCATATATAGGTGATCAATCAACGAGGGGCTCGAGCAGGTGATCGGCGTGGATGATTGGTTTAATAGTTTAAAGATACTGTTTACAGCAAAGAGAGCCTTGGCACAGTGGTTGGGCATGCGGTTGTGCAGCCTAACGACCCAAGTTCAATTCCTAGAATTGACAGGTGATGCATAGTGGTTTTCCCTCATTTATTGAGGATCAAGATACTCATTTAAAAAATTATGAGGACCATGTTTATCTTGGTACTCATACTAAAATGGCCGTATGCATCCCTAGTTGGTGCAGAGGCCGGGGAAGTGAAATTCTCCCCCATTTTTAAGGCGTCGTCCGCTCCAGGCGACTGGGGGGCGAAATCCTAGCCGCCCGCCGGTTTCCCCGCGCACCCACCTCGACGTTGGAGGCACCCCCACCCCGCATCAAGCGCCGACGCCCGCCTCCCCAGCTCCTGGTGGCCGCTGACGCAAGCCCTCTGTGGCGGCCGTCGGTCGCCGGAGCTGTCGCTAGCCCCTCTCCCGATCCAGTGTGGGGGTCTCCTGGGAAGGTCCGACTGCCAGATCAGGCCGGCTCGGCCCTGGATCGGGGCCGGCTCCTCTCTGACGGCTGGTGGGCCGGGGATCGCCGGATCCGCCAGGATCTGGCCGGCGTGGCCCTGCCTCGTCGCCCGGCTTGGGTGCTCGCGGTGTGGTCTCCCTGGTGCCGGCGGCCTTGGGC